CATCCTTCCTTCCATTTTACCATTCCATTCTCTCATCCTTCCTTTCACTTTTCCATTCCATTCTCTTATTCTTCATTCCTTTTTTCCATTCCCTTCTCTTATCCTACCTTCCACTTTTCCATTCCCTTCTCTCATCCTACCTTCCACAATCCCATGCCATTCTCTCATCCTTCCCTCCACTTTTTCATTCAATTCTCTCATCCTTCCTTCCTCTTTTCGATTCCATTCTCACATCCTTCCTTCCACTTTTTCATTCCACTCTCTCATCCTTCTTTCCACTTTTCCATTCCATTCTCTCATCCTTCCTTCCACATTTTCATTCCATTCTCTTATCCTTTCTCCATCCTTTCCATTTCACTCTCTCATTCTTCCTTCGCTTTTACCATTCCATAAAAATCTCCTCTCCATTATAATCTACCTTTTCATATCTATAAAATCTCGTCTTTTTTGAATGTATAAATTATCTCAATTTAAACAAATCTTTTTTTCAATTTCTCTTTATTCTTTTTTTTAAATTTTCCTTTCATCGTCATATTTATCTCTTTTCCTTCTTTTAAAATTAAATTTTCCTGATATTCTCCGTTAAAAGTATCAAAACAACTGATTGCGCGTATTTCTCAAGTTATCATGATATCAAATATTTAGTTCCATGATATCATATTTATTTTATTTTAAAATGTGTTCCTATTATTGGAAGATTTGTTGGCGAACCACTCAAACGTCTGATTTACCGTGTTTAATGTTTATTCTAACAATTTTTCACACACTTTTAAAGGGTCTGTCGTCGTAATTTCAAAAGAGGGGCATTCCCGATTATCGGATCAATAATGTGGATGATATTGTCGTTTTTCCAGTTCAAAAAGTGTTTATTCTCACAATGTCCTTCATTGTTTTGTAGCAGAAATCCAAAAGTAGCTTTCGGAGAGGAACAATAATTGAAAATAATCAATTTTCTAAAACATAATTTAGATTTCTTTTGATGGTACAATCGGGACATGAACATGCCACTCTATATAGTTACTTGACAATCATCTAGAGAATTATTAAACCCGGTTTATCCGCGGCAAGCACCACATGGAAATAAATAAATATTTGCCCACCGACATTCCACCTAAAGCTTATCTTCCTCAAGTTGTATAAAAAGAAACCGAATTGTCCGTGAGATCTGGTGTGTGTCTGTGTGGTTGGAGAGCCTGGGCTGAGGAAACCCGAATCCCAGGTCTACTCAGGTCATATCCGTTGCCTAAACTTAAGATATGGGGGTAAGGTGGGTCTGGCCTTTTTGGGGATTTTGGAATACTTTTGTAAGATTTTGTTAGATTGTGCATTAATAATATGAGATACAAAATGTATTAAGAAATAATAAAATTTAAAGTCTTCCGTTCCTTCCCCCCCCCCCCCCTAGTCCCAAGACAAGTAAGTACATCCGCTCCAGGCTCTGGAGATTCTAACGCGGTTCCGACTGTTGACCTCATCCATATCTATGTATCTTTCTATCTGATTGTCTTTCTATCTATCTATCTATCTATCTATCTATCTATCTATCTATCTATCTATCTATCTATCAATCTGATTGTATATCTATGTATGTATGTATGTATGTATGTATGTATGTATGTATGTATGTATGTATGGGTGTATGTATGTATGTATGTATGTATGTATGTATGTATGTATGTATGTCATGTATGTATGTATGTATGTATCTATCTATCCTTATATCATCAATTTCAAAGAATATAAATATGTATTTTTTTTTTATCCAATCTCAATTAACTAGAATGAAGGAGGAGGTAAAGTTTATGCAACATTAATGGTGGTACCGGGTTTGTTACCTCCTAGCTTCTCTAGTTTTCATTTTACGCACAATTAAATATAAAACAATAAATTTATTCAGTTACAATACATAAAAAATTCAAAACATTTTTAATCTTTTTATTAGGATGAGTAATTAATGATTAAAAAACAAATTTCAATCGTAGTGTACAATTTCCTTTAGTTTGACCGGATTCATGGGATATTTACGTTGTATCTTTTGTATCTACATTTCTGATATTAATAAATACAGGGTTATCCTCAAAGGATGAGACTTCAAATACGATTGTACAGAATGTATACCGTCTGTTTCCTTATATTTTTGATTCCCTGCAACTGTAAACTTTTTTTTCTCTTAATCATTAAAATAAGCCATAAAAAGATCATATTTAAGGCAAAAGACTTGTTTTCAAATCGGAATCGTCAAATTCAAAGAGCTTCAGTCCGTCTATACAGTCTCATCCTTTGTGGGTAACCCTGTATATGTTTATACGTTCGTTTTGGGGAGGCTTTCTGTCACTCCTTTTTTACCCATGGTCAATGTGTAAATTTTATTTACGTTAAATCTCTAGGTACAATCCTATCTGAGTAACTGCATATCTACCCATCTATCTCCGTACCTACCTACATATTTATCTATCTATCTTAAAGAGAATTATCCTCCCATATCTGATACTTCCTCTTAACGAACTTTTACTTCCGAAATCACAACATCCCCCTCCTTAACTTCCCCCTTCCCCGTTACCCCCGCCCTTTGTTACGCTGGCGTTGATGGTTAATATAACGGAAGAATTTATAATTAATATCCCAGGATAATGATACACAATAATATATTTTTATAATATATCCATAAAGTCCTACAAGTGTATTTAATATATATTTCAACAGGTTATATTTTAACATTCTTCATTATTCCTCTTTTTCTAGAGTATTTTATTCTTCTACTAGTATCTTTTATTCTTCCACTTTTTCTAGGGTATTTTATTCTTCTCCTACTAGCATCCTTCATTCTTACCCTTTTTCTCGAGTATTCTATTCTTCTCCTACTAGTATCCTTCATTCTTCCTCTTTTTCTAGAGTATCTTATTCTTCTCCTACTAGTATCTTTTTTTCTTCGTCTTTTTTATTCTTCTCCTACTAGTATCCTTTATTCTTCCCCTTTTTCTAGAGAATTTTATTCTTCTCCTTCTAGTATCCGTCATTCTTCCCCTTTTTCTAGAGTATTTTATTCTTCTCCTTCTAATATCCTTCATTCTTCCCCTTTTTCTAGAGTATTTTAGTCTTCTCCTTGTAGTATCCGTCATTCTTCCCCTTTTTCTAGAGTATTTTATTCTTCTCCTTCTAATATCCTTCATTCTTCCCCTTTTTCTAGAGTATTTTAGTCTTCTCCTTGTAGTATCTTTTATTCTTCCCCTTTTTCTAGAGTATTTTATTCTTCTCCTACTAGTATCCTTCATTCTTCCCCATTTCTAAAGTATTTTATTCTTCTCCTACTAGCATCCTTCATTCTTCCCCTTTTTCTAGTGTATTTTATTGTTCTCCTACTAGCATCCTTCATTCTTCCCCTTTTTCTAGAGTATTTTAGTCTTCTCCTTGTAGTATCTTTTATTCTTCCCCTTTTTCTAGTGTATTTTATTCTTCTCCTTCTAGTATCCTTCATTCTTCCCCTTTTTCTAAAGTATTTTATTGTTCTCCTTCTAGTATCCTTCATTCTTCCTCCCCCCCTTTAGCCCAAGCCTTTGAGGGTAATTATGGTGGGTTATATATCTTACAGTGTTTCAGGTGTACAGTTACATGGGAACATACTGCCTTGTACACTAGTACATACATACAATATTTTTTGTACACAATCACATTTTTTTTGGTTTGTTATCCTACAAACTTCTAAACAGCTGAGCCGATTGGGATTGGGGACATGATCATAGAGAAGAAAATCCACCAATGAAACCAGAAAAATAATAAATTTTTTTCCCTTTATTTGTTGTGAAAAAATTATTTTAAGAAAGGATAGTACTAAGTCTATTTAATATGAGTAGAAAACAAGGATAGAGGGATTTAGAGATTTATTATAGTATAGATTTACGCCGATTAATTTTCAAACATATAATAACCACTAACCAGCCCTAGAGGATTTCAAGCTTTATACTTACTTACTGACGTCAGCCTCTATAAGAACATAGACCAGTAATCAGTGTTCTTAATTTTATTCACCAAGTACAAAATTGAATAGTCCTTAAATCAACCATTCTCAATAATTCAAAAGCAAAGGCCAAATATTGCAGGGTTGAATTATATTAGTAGAGGTTTCGTGAATAATTTATTATTTGATTTTATAGGCACTGCACGGTTTACAAATATAAGCCTCCGGAGACCGAATTTAATGAATATGAGAGAGGTCGCTGAACTTCATGCCGCTAGTTCATCCTAAATCACCGATTAAAAGTTAAAGATTTATGAGGATTTGAATCGGTGATTCGGGATTTGAACTGTCTGCATTTTGCCACCTGCACGTACCTCTTAAAATTATTAAGAGGTACGTCCCTCGAACTTAAACATTAACTTAAATATTTTCACATTAAATTGAATTTTCCCAATAAATCTTTATAAACAAGTTAAGCTAGGTACCAATTGTTGTCAAATTTTCTCCAGGACATTAATCTACTTCTTCCCCCTTCCATAACAAGATGTAAAATGCGTGTGGTTAAAAAATATTTAATATTAACAAATTTTGGACCGACCAAGTAAAAACGATTTTGTTTTGCAATTTATTTGTAATATCTTAATGCTTTTCGACGATGGAGTAAAATTCGATAAAAAATATAAATACATGACACGATGGAGTTCTGGCTTTTTAGAAAAAAAAACACGAGAACATTTTTTGACCCGAAAAGATTTTATAAAATCAAGATCTCATGAATTATATGAAAAATTTTAATTTTCTAAGAGTACTAGAAAACAAAAGATGCGTCACAGAATCTGAGAATTATATATTTAAGTTTTCGGCAGAAATGTGTATATACGCGTAGACTTCTAATCGTTGAGAACGGGTTGATGATGAAGCTCTTTGATAGATGGATAGACAATTGATGGTAGATAGATAGATAAATATTTAGATAGATAGTTGATGAGATATTTACATCCTGTTTCTATACTGTTGACTTAAACCTGATAATGAAATAAGCAGAAACAAAGATAAAACTCAGTTTAAATAATGAACTTGCTCCGAACCCATTGGACTAAAGGAAAAGTTTAAATCAAATGTATTTCTAATATTTCCCGGGTCGGATTTAATTAACTATCGAGGAGCAGTTTTAGCTGGCCATAACATTAATTTCATCCTCTGGGCATTTGGATCAAATATTCTGTTTTGAATTAATCTTTAAACTCAAATATTCTAGTTTTTGTGTACAGTTGTATAGCTATATGCTTTACTTTATCTGGGTCTCAGGTGAGGACCTAAACCTCCTTTTATTGCACAGAATCTAACTACGGATGTCTTTAAAAATTGATGTTTAAAAGTGTAACATTACAAAAGATTTGAACCGATTCACTTTTGAGAAAATCTGTGACTTTTATCGTGAAAACTTAATGGTTTTAACATCCATTACTGTTACCAATAATATTGAATACAAATTGCTTTTTAAATTTGATTGAATTTCAAGACATCAAGCCCGGCAGTTGTAAAGAGATTGAATGCCTGATAAACCGCCCTTTATATCTTTATTTAAATACAATGGAAAAAATATTTCCGTAATTTTAACTTGAATTAAATTTACTACCTTCTCTGATGCTACAATCCGCCATTCACTTTCTCAGAAAAATAAAAAATTTCTAAATAAAAAATATCTTCATCACTTAAGTTCATATCAAGGGTGCCGTTGTGAATGGGGAACAAAAAGGGTCACTTCAAATTATGACAATCCTTGCAAGACAAAAAAACTGTTTTTAAATTTAGATAGTAAAGTATTTCCAGTTAATGTATCAAGCATTAAGCAAGTTCGTAATAAAAGCTTTTAGGAGATGAATTCTTACTGTTTTCTTTTTATTACTTAAATCAAGAAAGGATAAATTATTTTTAATTCCTGATTTACAACAATACTCAGAAAAAAATAATATCTTTAGATTATAAATAAAAATTAATAAAATGTTTTAGGGTCAAAATAACTTTATCCCACCTTACTTGAAGACCTGCACCGCCCTGCCTAATAACGGTGGTAGATGGAACTGTATTCCAGAGGCGTTTCCAGGTAACAACAACTTTTTTATCAAAACTTTAAGTTCCAATCGTTTAATGAAACAAAGATTTGTGAGTATTTCTAAACATTTCCAATCCCACTCTTTGAGTTAAAAAGTTTCAGAGAAACCCCTTAAAAAAATCCCTGCCCCCTCACACCGGGTTCAGCAAAATATTGAACATTTTTGTAGATATTTATTTAAATTATAAAATTCTAATATTTAGGGTTCCCGGTTCAGGAATATTATTATTTTAATTTATTGTCCTAATTTCAAGGAAAAGTATCAAAAGTAAAATTTAATTTTCTTAGAAAGAAGAAATTTTTTTTGCCAAAATAGATAAAAAATAATATTAATCCTGCAGACGGATACATCCTGTGAATTCTGGTGCAATGGGATTATTTCTGACACCCTTTACAGGTAATCATTACTTACAGAATACAGATATTTCTGACACCCTGAGCATCCATGAGCCCCGCAGACTGACCTCCGGAGCCTCCTAAATCGCAGAATGGCCTCCTAACCAACTTCTAGCCAATCAAAATCGTCTCCTAGCCTCATGCTGTGTCAATTTTCCCATTCAGTTTTAAACCTTGATAAATCAAACGACATGGAATAAGTCAATTTAGACAAATGCTTTAATAAACTTAGGTAAAAGGAAAAACTTATTAAAAGATATACAGCCACAGGATGTCCCGATAAACATTGGAATTTGGTGACGGAGAAATTGCAAAATTTGGCCAGATTACAATTTATTATTTAAAATTAATATAGTTTAGATACGTAATAATATCTTTTTCAAGATACAACAGAATATACGACATTTGGGATGTCTTGATTCTTGAGATAAATCCCTTTTTTAAACATTCCAGTCCATTCATTATCTATCGGAAATTTCAGTTGTAATTCGTCTCTTAATATCCATAACTCCATGTTTATTGGGACACCTGATAAATGTGGAAAGTAATAACTTTTTTAACTGGAGAATATTAGATACATTAGAAATTCTATCTATTTTTTAAGATGCGACAAACATGCACACTGGAATCATAATCCAAACCAAGAAACCTGCCAGGTAATCATAATCTTAGCCAGGAAACCTGCCAGGTAATCATAATCTTAGCCAGGAAACCTGCCAGGTAATCATAATCTTAGCCAGGAAACCTGCCAGGTAATCATAATCCAAACAAGGAAACCTGCCAGGTAATCATAATCTTAGTCAGGAAACCTGCCAGGTAATCATAATCCAAACAAGGAAACCTGCCAGGTAATCATAATCCAAACAAGGAAACCTGTCAGGTAAACATAATCTTAGCCAGGAAACCTAACAGGTAATCATAATCCAAACCAATAAACCTGCCAGTTAACCATAATCTTAGTCAGGAAACCTGCCAGGTAATCATAATCCAAACAATGAAACCTGCCAGGTAATCATAATCTTAGTCAGGAAACCTGCCAGGTAATCATAATCCAAACAAGGAAACCTGCCAGGTTATCATAATCTTAGCCAGGAAACCTGCCAGGTTATCATAATCCTAACTAGGAAACCTGTCCGATAATCCTAATTCAAACAATAGAAAACCTGCCAGATAATCATAATCCTAACCAGAAAACCTGCCAGATAATCATAATCCTGACTAGGAAACCTGCCAGGTAATCATAAGCCTAACCAGGACACCGGCCATGTAATCATAATTCTAACCAGGACACTTGCCAGATAATTCTAATCCTAACCAGGACACGAGTTAGGTAACCAAAAATAACCAGGACACTAACCAGAAATTCTGTAACAAGTGTTGGACATGCTGTTTTGATCCGTTTATAAATATTTAGGGTTCGAGATGGTCAACAAAATCTGGTTATTTTTGCATATAACATTGTTGGTTAAAAATATTAAATCTCGTTTAACTGTTAATAATGTAAGAAGTATTGAAGAGTTATTTGGAAATCTGTTGAATGTTATCAATTGAGATAAATAAAAATCTTTCAACTAAAATATTCTTGGAAAGAATGCAAATTCATCCAGATTACTCTTTGCTTAAATGATTCCTGAGTTCTATTTGTTTATTCATAGGAAACAACAACAATCAGGCCGTCCTCAACTTCAACTACAACTCCTATAACTTCTGTAACAACTACAGAAGCAACAACACTTACAACAACAGCAGATTTAACTACACCCACAACAACAACCTCATCTACTCCAACCACAACTGAAACAACACCTACTACAACCACATCTACCACAACTACTACAACATCTACCACAACTGTAATAACAACTACGGAAATGACTTCAACAACAGAAACAACGACCACCACTTTAGGTATTTTACTTTTTTTTACATTGAAAAAATGAAAATTTAAAGATAATCAAGAGTTGGATCAGTGTCCGTTCACCTTGAATGAAGAAAGAAAGTCCCGAAGCCTGTATTGTCCTCAATCTTATTGTCCGGCTGTGAAAATTGGTAAGCAAATCATTTTTATGAATCCTTAGTTTTTTATCTTGATCATAAACTGTTTTCAATAGAAAACTATATTTTCGAAATTATCTCCTTGCCAAAAATTGGAAGCAACATTTAAGAAAATTTAACAATTCAGAATTGAACTGGTAAGTCCTAATCAAACCATAATAATATGAAATTTTGAATTATTTCTAAAAAGTGCCCCTAACATAATAACATTTTCAGTTCAGTTTTTAGTCTGGAATTTGTTTAATTTTAGGTGAAGTTTTTCGATTTCAATGATTCTGAATTGATTGTTTTAAGACGTAGATTTAATTTCCATATCACTGAATTTTGACATTTTTAAAAAACTTTTTTAGTAAAAGGTCTTTACTAAATATTAATTGTATTTGGTATTAAACTTGTGCATTCTTATCAAAATAATGCCTAGTTACCCCATCACTTTACTTCATAAGAACCTGGTGCAACATTTAATTCATACTAGTCACTAGATATATTTTATGATATTTGATAGTAAATGTTCATAATAAAAAAATACCATTAAAAATATTGAAATTAAATATGTTTTTATAATGCTAGTAAGTAGAGGGGGAGCAGCTAAAGAATATCCTAACCTAATGGGTTGCTACAACTACGAAGGAAATACTTAAAATAGTGTTTTTTTCCTGAGAGGCTTCTAAATAGATTTACTTTTTCCTGATCAGGATTCTTCAGTGTTGGATATCCTGTAAAGCGTAGGATTCCTAGACTTAAACCAACGGTTATAGTGTTTAAAATGATATTTTACGCTAATTTATAATAGGCCTGGAACTACACGGATAGCTTACTTCATGTTTAATTATTATACTATAGGTTAAGCCTTATTTCCTTTAATAGTAAACAGTTGTAAGGGTACAGTTCAGCTATCTAGGCTGGTAGGTAGATACCTATCAGCCCTCTTGGCCTAGTCGGGGTCGCGGGGAAACACCAAGGATTTTAGGCTTAGCTGGATATTCAGCACAAAAGTTTCGTCATCTTGTCTTGAATAAAAAACATGGATGAATTTCAACATTCTAGCTCTTTTCAAAAAATTTTATATTTCCTTTGGATTTCTCTTATCTTTTAGTCATCCATACATTTTATTATTTCTTAGAAATCAAATTCAGTATTTTCCTCCAATTCAAAATGTTCAACGATCAACAAGCCTTAAATTTCTAAATTTAAGTATGCAAATGTAGGAAGCTTGATGGGTGATGAATATCCTAATTATGTGAATAAAGGGAATGTATTCCTAACCCCGCACTCTCATAGGTACAAATAAAATAAAAGAAAACATTTTGAAAGAAAAAAGTAAACAAAAACAAAAAAGTTAAGATAAAATATATTTTAGTAATCCTGTAATTGGCTACACTATATGGTTAGGAAAGGAAATCTCATTAATTTAAGAAAATAAGTATTTAAAGTTTTGAAACTAAAAAATAATCTTAAAATAATTTCCTAATGTTTAGTTAGTACCAAAGTTCTTGACACTACAGGATATATCAGGTATATTTCAGGGTATGTAAAAGATCAAGTTAAAGCTTTTTAACAAAATAAATTTTTGGCTGAGGCCTTTTGGTATTTTTATCATTTATTGAAGAACTTTACTTCAGATGGTGGGTTCTAAGCATTTCAGACCGCCATTAAATCTTTATTCTACCCTGTATATTAAAAAATTTTAAATTATGTTTAAATGTTGGAGTACCATCATACCATGTGGGAAAAGGGGGAAAATGGAAAAAGGGGGAAATAGGGTGAAAAAGGGGGGTAAAGATTGGGAGAGGGTGCAGAAAAAGGGGGGGAAAAAGATGACAGAAGGGGAAAAGAGGAAAGAGATGTATCTGAAATACCAGTAATATACTAGGAATAACAAGCATGATGACCTCTACTGCCCCTATGATATGCTGGACGGCTGGGAATACCTGGACAAGGTAAACTAAAAATATTGATTGATTGATTGACTAATGGTTTGTTATTATCCCCCTATCTAGGCTGGGAACTGGGTAGAAGATGAAACCTTGAAGGTTGAATGTGTTCATGGTTCTTACTAACAAGAAATATTGAGAAAATAAGTTCAATTAGAAACAAATTAAATATATATTTTTTAAATAACAAAATATCTTTTATATTTGCAATTGCGTACATTTATTTACAATCCAATGCAAAATACAATATACATATTTGGTATAATCTTATTTTTAAGAGCATTGCTTGATTTGAGTGTTCATAGTTGACAAATACTTGTTATTTTTTATCGTTTTCTCATTAATGTGTATCCGTCCCCTATATTCAGTAGAAGCACATCAACGGCACTAAGAATAAGAAAAAAAATGAATTGAAAAAGTTAATTAAAAATTATGTTTGAATTTTATATTTGAACTTACCCTGAGCTTATGAAAGTTTTGTTTGCATTATCAATTTGTTGTCCAACTCTGTTGTCCAGGTCAAATACCTTCCCCTAGAAAATATACAGGGGGAGTAAAAAATACTGGGTTCTACCCAACATATTTTCTTTTGGCAGAGTTCAGGATTTAGTCCTAAAAAAAAATTAATATGTGATTTTAAAAATGCAAACATTTTTTGGTTGATAAAATCAAAAAACTCCAAACAATATTTTTTCTCAAGAAATATATTGAAAATGTTTATTCTTTTTATTCCAAATTTTTATTAAAAAATTTTGACAAATGAATCAATTGATTGCTAGTGTCCGTATTGACACCGATAGCTAACAAGATCACGTCCAGGTTGTGGCGTTAATAAATCACAGGATTGTAGCAGTGTGCATATGTCCAGTTTGAGACATTGATCATTGATTGCTAGTGTCTGTATTGATACCAATAGCTAACTAGATAGCGACCAGGATGTGGCATTGATAGTTCCCGGGATTGTAGCTGTGTGGATGGTGTCAAGTTAGAATTGAATTTCTATTTTGTTCCAAACATTATCCCTGACAGCATTATTTAACGGTTTTGTAAAACAGCGAAAATAAAAAACTTTATTTATAACTCTAGGAACTATATTTTAAAGGAATTGTATTCTAGAAACTATACTTTAAAAGAATTGTATCCTAGAAACCATATTTTAAAATAATTTTATCCTAGAAACTATATTTTAAATTGGAATTGTATCCTAGAAACCATATTTAAAAAGAATCGTATACTAGAACCTATTTTTTAAAATAATCGTATCCTAGAAATTATATTTTAAAAGAACTGTATCCTAGAATCTATATTTTAAAATAATCGCATCCTAGAAACTATCTTTTAAAGGAATCGTATTCTATAAACTATATTTTAAAAGAATTGTATCCTAGAAAGCATATTTTAAAAGAAGCGTATACTAGAACCTATATTACAAAAGAATTGTATCCTAGAATCTATATTTAAAAATAATTGTATACTAGAAACTATATTTTAAAATAATTGTATACTATAGAAACTATTTTTTAAAGGAATTGTATCCTAGAAACTATGATCTTAAGGAATTTTATCCTAGAAACTATATTTTAAAGGAATCGTATTCTAGAAACTATATTTTAAAAGAATTGTATACTAGAAACCATATTTTAAAAGAATTGTATCCTAAAAACTATATTTTAAAAGAATTGTATCCTAGAATCTAAATTTTAAAGGAATCGTATCCTAGAAACTATCTTTTAAAGGAATTGTATCCTAGAAACTATCTTTTAAAAGGATTGGTATACTATAAACTATATTTTAAAAGAATTGTATCCTAGAAACCATATTTTAAAGGAATGGTATGCTAGAAACTATATTTTAAAAGAATTGTATCCTAGAAACTATATTTTAAAGGAATGGTATACTAGAAACTATATTTTAAAAGAAGTGTATCCTAGAATCTAAATTTTTAAGGAATCGTATACTAGAATCTAAATTTTAAAAGAATTGTATCCTAGAACCCATTTTTAAAGGAATTGTATCCTAGAAACTATATTTTAAAGGAATCGTATACAAGAAACCATATTTTAAAAGAATTGTATCCTAGAAACTATATTACAAAAGAATTGTGTCCTAGAATCTATATTTAAAATAATTGTATACTATAGAAACTATTTTTTAAAGGAATTGTATCCTAGAAACTATATTTTAAAGGAATTTTATCCTAGAAACTATATTTTAAAGGAATTGTACACTAGAAACTATATTTTAAAATAATCATATCCTAGAAACTATCTTTTAACCGAATATATAAAAGAAACTATATTTTAAAGAGTTGTATCCAAGAAACTATATTTCGAATTCATCCGACTCAAAAAAAGAGTTTTTGATTGTATTTAGAAGTTAATCTATATGTTAAAAAAAAACTATGATTTTCTCACATCACTTTTTAAATTATGTTCCTTCCGTGACGCCAGAATCTTATATTGGAATCAAATTACGTTCTTATAATTTAAAAAATTCGAAAATTTTCAAGAGCAAAATCGTCTTTTCTCGGAATTACTCCTAAAAAATCTGACCTTGAACAACGTATTATCTACGGCTAGAACACCGCCTTGTCTAAGCAGCTGTAGACTAAGGTTGAAGTAGGTTGGGTAGTTGGTTTTATCAGCATCAATGTAGGAGAAATCAAATGTTCCTGGTTCAATGGTTCAATATCATAATCTCCTTCTCTCTGAGAAGAGTCTAGAGAGCTTTAACAAAAGAATTTAATTATCTTAAAAATGTAAAGACGCTTCAAGTAGTTTGACGTATATACATTATTTGGTATTACACAAGGGAGAGTAATAATAAAAACAAACATTTTCCTGAATGTCCTTCCTGGCAGAGGTGCTCTGAAATTTGTTAAATTATGATTTATATTATTATCATCACTTTAATTATCATCATTTAAGAAAATATTAAAACGTTAATTACTTTCCAGAGAAAAATACAAATTGGACATTTTAAACGTTTTCCAGCGAATATTATCCAAATTTATTATTTTCCAAAATACTGAATGAAGTTACGATTGAAGTTAAAATCAGAATAGGTAATGTTAGAATAAATCGGTTGAATTAGGATAAATTAAGAACACTAAAATGTTTTAACTTTTTTAATGTCGTTCCTCCCAGACTTTATGTACTTTATGATGGAGAATTTTCTTGATAATAAAGTAGGAAAAAGTAAAGTTTTCTGAAGTTATAAAAATATCGATTACAGGGACTGTCAACGTATTAAAATGTTTAAAGAGGTAATTGTCCAATTGAGAACGGTATCTTTCAGTATAAAACTAGATAATTTTATATCGTGAATTCTCTGTAAATCAAACTTGCATATTCTTTTAGCATAGACAACGAACGTAATTAACAGAATTCAACTAGACAATATCTTCTCAATTGTTGATCAGATTATGATTGAAAGTGTACTATGCCCCCTTTTTTAATTAAATTCAGGCCCACTTCTCAGAATTACGTTTACACTTCACAGTGCACAGTCCGTTTAACTTACGAGTTTACCTAAAGATTTTGAAGCATCTCCAATAATTAGATTAATTCGATCAGACACTTCATATTTCTTAAATAATTAGATTAATTCGATCAGACACTTCATTTTTCTTAAATAATTAGATTAATTCGATCAGACACTTCATATTTCTTATATAATTAGATTAATTCGATCAGACACATCATATTTCTTAAATAATTAGATTAATTCGATCAGACACTTCATATTTCTTAAATAATTAGATTAATCCGATCAGACACTTCATATTTCTTAAATAATTAGATTAATCCGATCCGACACTTATTTTTCAAATAATTTAAAACTATGATAAACTTGTTTACTAAAAAGAGAAAATACCTTAAAATTTTCTTGAGCAATTTGAGCAAACTTTATACTTTTCTCCAGAGAATATACTTTTCCTTCAGGAGGGACAACTGGGACACAATTATTTTCAATCTTCATTTTTATCAATAATAATAATAATATTAATATTAAAATTATATTAATGACAAGAAGAACAACAAGAACAAGAACAAGAACAAGAACAAGAACAAGAACAAGAACAACAATAGCAACAATAATAATAATAATAATAATAATATTGCTCCCTAATGCAGATGCTAATGAACTAGCACCAGTATAAACTCCAATATCCAACACCTAATATAATTATGTACTGATACATTTAGAATTTACATAATATATAATTTTAAAAGTAAACTATAATTTTATTCTTGCTTTCTACCTTTTGTGCTGATATTAGTTTAATAATAAACTGGTTTAACATTAGAACTTGTACAGAAGATACGAGTTTATTTCCTAGTTCTTCCTTAGTGCTCTGCAACAAATTAACTGAAAGTATGAATTTTTTTTACGTAGTCTCTGTCATTTAATTAAAGTTGTTTTAAATTCTAAGAAACGAATGATTTTGTCTGGTTCTGCTTGAAAGAATGACTCAAACTCATTTCCCCCATTTAATAAGTAATCTATAAATAAATTTGGCTTGTCTGTCTGTGTGTTTGTTTGTTTGTATCCAATAAACGTCAAAACGGCAGAACCGAAATTTTTTTTCTTCTTTCACATGTTCACAATTTAAATAGAAGATCCTAAAAGCCTAGTCTATATATAAATTTGGCTTGTTTGTCTGTCTGTTTGTTTGTCTGTTTGTTTGTTTGTATCCAATAAACTTTAAATTTTTGAAAATTTTGAAAATCCACGAAATATTTTGTGAAAATCCGCGAATTATTTTTGTTTTGTTTTACGATGTACACAAAGAGAACATGTTCACAAATAATTTAAAAGATGGGCGCGAAGCGCCCTCTAAGGCTAGAAAGAAGGGCGCGAAGCGCCCTGAATTTCTAGTTTATATATAAATTTAGCTTGTCTGTCTGTTTGTTTGTATCCAATAAACGTCAAAACGGCTAAACCGATCGGGCTCAAATTTTTTGTGGGATCTCACGTGACCCCAGGTAGGGTTTATGAATAGTTAAACTTTTAAAAGTTTTTGTTTAAAAGTTTATTATTTTTGTAATATTTTGAAAATGCGCAAAAAATATTATGAAATCCGCAAACTTTTTTTGTTTTTGTTTTATACTGTATAAAGAGAAGATGCTCGCAGATAAAGCCACAAGTAAAAATTGAAGATGGGTACGAAGCGCTCTAAAAGCCTAGAACATAATACATGTTCTAAATAAATAACTTTTAAATTTTTGTCATTCCCAATTTTAGATTAGGGGTTCCTAATTGCAAAGAAATAAAATTAAATAAATTTGCCATTTAATAATTATTGATACATATTGTATACAAAACATGTAAATATTTTAAAAAGTTTTAACGTAATGTGAAGACGACGGAAAACGAAAATCATGAAAGTCTTTCCAGAAAAAAATGCAGACATATAAACCATTCAGCATTAGTAAGATAAACTGCACCCTTTCTCCGACTGCAACATTTTTATCAATAATTTTCTCCTGCTTAATGAACAACCCCTTTAAACGAATCTAATTTTCTAAAACAATTATAATCTAAAGTCATGCGAGAAAAAACTGATTTACAGCTAGCGCATCAATAACTAATAAGATGCCGAATCCAGGGGCGTAGTCAGGAATTTGTCCAGGGGGGCTTACATTTTTTTCTTTTCAGGCTTCGACCCTATAGCCCCCCCTGACTACGCCTCTAGCCGAATCAGATGATTACAGGCCCCGCAATGCACTTCATGAACTCCAGTCGATATAGATTTTAGAAGCATGATCGAAATCGATGTATTAAAACTTGGACCGGTCAATTTAAAGATAAAAAGTTGATGAGGTCTGGTACCTACCTATAGAAGGATGAAGAGGAGAAGACATGGAAATGCAGTATTCAAAATATTCATTACTCATTTCTAATTAACATGGCGTCAACAAAATAATCTTTTTAAACCTGCACAATTAACTTATTTAATTAATTAATTTTAGTTAATGATTTGATTTACAGATGATGCACAATCCTAAATCTTTCTTTACAAATCCACTTATAGAGCATGACATCCTTCGCACAAAATTCATCCTTATTTCTGAAATTAGTGTAAAAGTTAAAACTCTGTTAAAATATAAAAACCAAAAACCAGAAAACCAGCAGTAATAACACAGAAATAAAACAGTAAATGCACACATGTTTACTATTAATCAAAATTATTTGTTAAAACAAATTATAACTTAGTAACCAGAGTGAGTCCATCTCCCACATTCAAGAGAACAGCTGTAACACGTGGATCAGAACTCAGCTGCAATAGAACCGCCATTTTAAATTGATAAAAACCAATCAAGTATGAAATCAATTATTGTATGTCAAAAGATAATTCTTTGGAAAAAAATAATCGATATCAATAATATTTAATCTAGAAAAATAAAATTTCTTTATGAGGTTCTATTTCAAGACGTGCACAGATTTCTGTAAGCTTTAATGGATATATTTCATAAGCGGTAAAAACGATTTAAAAATTAAAATTAATTTAGCATGAAAAACATTTAAAAACTTTTCCTACCTTTTTGTTCAACTCTCTGAGTGCAGAAGTATTTAAATCCGTTTTACTAAAAGCAGAAAAAAAATAAAAATCGATAAGTTTTATTGTTTAAATTCAATACAGAACTCCCCTTTAAGAAATAATAAAAAAAATATATAGAAAAAGATAAAAAAAAATAAACTAAAACACAGCAATAAGACAAAATAAATTTTATTATTTGGATATGGGGAAAAGTAACATACTATTCTCCTAATATGGGAAAAGTAAATATATCACTGTCAAGATTTGAGAAAAGAGAAACAAAAAAGTAACTATGTATGGGAAAAGGTAACTGACGTGTGGGAAAAAGTATCTGATTCATGGGAAAAAGTAACTGATGCATTGGAAAAAGTAACTGATGTATGGAAAAAGGTAACTGATGCATGGGAAAAAGTAACTTATATGTGGTAAAAAGTAACTTATGTGTGGGAAAAAATAATTTGTGCGGGGAAAAGTAACTGATGTATGGGGAAAAGAAACTGATGCATGGGAAAATTAACTAATGCATGGGAAAAAGTAACTTATATGTGAGAAAAAGGAACTGATGTATTGGAAAAGTAACCGATGTATGGGAAAGAGTAACTGGCGCATGGGAAAATTGACTTATGCATGGGAAAGAGTAAAAAATGTATGGAAATTTAAGTAAATGATGGGAAAAGGTGTACCGGTACCTTTCATCTAGAACATCTCCACTCCATAAAGTGTTATCAAAAGCCATCATTCCTCCTAGACATAATATTAGTATTATTTTCTTTAAATGTTACCTCTCACAGTTTATAAATGACTAGCTGGATTTTTCAGTATTACCCAGGTTTATAATTTATGGTCATAGTTACTCCCGCCGTTCACCCGCGCTTGGTTTTGAATCAAGATTTTAGCAGAAGTGTTAGGCGTTGTCCGTAGAATTTCGTATATCCCCAAAAGATAGCCTATCTCACCCCCGGGGTATCCATTGGTTTCACAAAAAATGTCAATTTGGTCCAGCTGTCAGGCTAGTTTTAGCAAACATATATATATATATATTTATAGATTTATAGATTTATATATGACCGAAGGGCTTTATTATTCAGATATAAAACAATCACCTGTTCTAAGCAGCTCTAAACAGAGTTCAAAGTACTTCTCGTAATTAGGTTTGTCTGCATCTATGTTATTTTAGTAGAATTATATTTAGAAGTTTGAACAATATCAGAAATTAGGCCGAACATTTTGAATCTCACACCTTTGACATTTTAACCCTCAAATGCAACTTTCAATATAAAATTTTATGCTGTCGATAAGTGGTTTAGTCTCTGAAGCTTAGCCTTATCCCATACAAAAGTTTCTCCCTCTAAAGAAAATCTTTCCGATTGAATAAAATTATTTAAACCTATGAAAGCGAAATCAAATGATCCTTTCTCTCCGTTGTCTAATGTTTTCTCCAAGGTTTCCGTAGCAGGAGCTAGAACTAATTCAATCTATAAAAAAATCTGTTAATTATCTGAATTTCTAAACAATCCATTTGGTGATTTAATTTTATAATTAAACCTTTTAAGTTTGAAAGATTGTGAAAAAATTTAAAATGAGCCTTCCTACTTAAAGTTATACATTAAGAATGATGTTCTATTTCCGCTAAAGTAAAGAAACATGAAAAGAACTAATGAGACATATGTAAGTAGACAAAACATTTCAAACAATATATTCTCCAGAAAATAAATTTCAAAGGGAAACCATAAAAATCTGAATCAGTTTAAAAGATGAAAAGTCCAACTTAGTTCTGCTTCTTACAGTAAATATTATTCACTCTTACAAAACTGCGCCATATTTTCTTGCTTCATGAGTATGATCATAAAAATACAGAAAACCATGGTCAGCTGGATGTAACCAGTTTTTAAGAGAACACGCTTTACAGGGAGGAGAATTACAAAAATTATAAATCAATTTTTACCAAGCTGCGTTGGTGAATTACTCTCTATTGTGCAAGCTCAAGACAGGGCGAATATTTTAACATTGTCCCTAACCTGTTCACAATCATTCCACTTTAACGGTTTTAATTTTAATCTTATTTTTCAGAAATATTAATAAATAAGATTAAAATCTTTTGTAAAAATCAAATTTTTTAAATTAAATTAAATAAAGCAATTCCCAAAATTTAAACTAAGGGTTTAAACTCAACCTTATGTTGAACCCCAGCCTCTACCCAATACTCCTGCGCCATTTTGGTCCAGGTGTCATTTATATCACAGGCTAGCACCTTCCCGTCCTAACAAATAGTAATCATTTATATCACAGGCTAGCACCTTCCCGTCCTAACAAATAGTAATCATTTATATCACAGGC